CTCTGCAGATCGTTGAGCCTTCTCTTAATCTGCAAGGAATGTACAGCATGGACAGAAATTTTAGAGTTTAAGACTATGTACTAATATGGAATGAAGAATTCATCTATGAGATTGAGTCTGCTCATATTGCATGTTGTGCAATGGGGAATTCTGCAGAAGGGACTGAAATCAGTTTATAACCAGCTAATAGAGGCAAAAGTCCAATATAAAACAAAGGCTTGAAAGTTCCAATGCATGTTCATGGATCTGTCCCTTTCTAGTTTCTACTTGTTGAGTAACAAGTTTAATTCTCCTAAAAATTTGTTTCTCTGGTCTAGTACCAAATGAAGTTATCAAACCACATATTTCTTGTGTTAGAGCTACTTCAATTACTCTGATTAGTATGTGAGGGTGAGGTCCTGCACTTGGTACATAGGCATTATTTCATTAGAAGCCAGTGGAAGTGTTGGCTGCCTTAAGGATTATAGGTTAGGACCTCACATTTGTACGCCACTGTATGACCTAAATGAGATTAGAATAATAAATCCTGATTTATTATGAGGGCTTTATTTAGATATATTTTGAGTATGAGGGTCTGTGTCAGGATTAATTATGAGATCTAGTGTACTCCAGCTCTGAGAAAGCTTAACAACACAAGGACATTTTTTCCCTTGAGAGCACTAGTTCTCAGCCCTCTGCCTGGCTTTCGTCAGCACTGCTAGATGTTGAATGGCCCAGAGATGCTGGATCCCAAAGACGGTGACGTATAGTCTGTGACTTGGAGATAAGCCCACAATGAGCAAAGGATGGAAGTATCCCATTGGCAGCCTGAGTAATCATTCTCTGCAATGCAGTAGCATTCAAGAGGCATCCAATAAGGTTTTCAGAAGTCAAAAATAAATGAGAAATCACTGTTTCAGGATTTATGTACTGTGTTGAGCAGACATTATTTGAGGTACCTACCCTGTAGCTAAGACAGGTTCTCTCACCTTTTGCAAAGGGAAGTCCCTTTCAGCCTTGTGGCACCCAGCTATCATCAGGGGACCTGATACCTTGTCATGCAGCACACCAAATTGCAGTGGCTTTAGTATTTAACACAGAAGGTGTGTGCTTGCACAACAGTTTAATTTGTCCGGCTTAAAACCATACTACTACAGGCTTAAGAGGAATTTGCCCTTCCAAGTAGTAATTTAACCAGAAAGTGGGAGGAGGGGGGTGAGATAGGAATTAAAATTAATGAACTTCAAGGGTATGGGACACAGACTGAAGAAAGAGGAGTTTTAAGTGCTGTGGTAAAGCCAGGTGCATTCAATCAACATGAATTACACAGTATCTTTACTTTTCTTTAAGTCCTAATACTCCTAATCTCCATCAGCTGGCTGACCAATCCATCTACAGCAGATTTCAATTCCACTTGTTCCAAGATTCTTTACTCAGTTCTCAAGATCTAAACCACAGGAACCAGGTACTAGAAGAAATACAATCTGAGAAATCAAGAAGCCTCAAAAGGATGAAAAGCCTCCCAGTGTAGCTGAGGACAAATTCTCTAGGTTACCACATGCTACAATTGGAAAGATCAACATGGTTGATATAGCAATACAGGAAGCGTAAACACAGAGCAACTAGTGAGAATGGAAGGTGTTACAAAGGAAAAGTAAAGGTGCTCACCTGTCACCAAAGATCAAGGCTAACAGAGAAAACTCCACAGAGGAGAAATCTCCAACCAGAGATCCTTCCTTAGTGGCAGTCAGCCCTTAAATGAGGTCTAAGAGAGGTGCAACCAGGCTCCACCCCTTCTGGTCACACAGCTGAATTGCCTTCACCTGTGCTCCCAGAGCTGACCGGGTTCTTTCTACAGTGGTTCAGGCCATGTCTCAATGGTTCCACATACCACAGTATAGAATCAAATATGAAGATGGTTCAGGATCTAACAAAATGTTGAATTACTTTTTTTTCTTCACTTCCTAGAGGTGCTCATTTCTGCCAAACCCCTTCTAAAAGGCTTTTTAATACTACACACAACATGGTGGGAGTCCTTGGGTGCATGGTAGCACACAGTGATTCATTCAGTCTTGCCAGCAGGTTCATTAAGTCCAAGTGACATCAAAGACAAGAACCTTAGATCTCTGCACAAGATCAGAGCAACATTTCAACTTGCAGAATCCAGATGCTTTGTTATCTACTTTTGATCATTTCAAGTCAAATGGCAGCATGACAGCCTAGCTAAGCAACCTTTTGAACCCTCAAGCTCCACTCAGGTTTATTCCTGTGGACAGTGACCCTTAGAAAAAAAACAGTAACGCAAACAGATCCTCTGGAATTGCCTAACATCCCTCAACTGCAGTGGCTGAACTTTTAAAGGGCTGGAAGGATGCGTGGGTAGGCCTATGAAGCAGTTTCTTGTAATGTTACAAAGCAGTTTCTCAATGAAGTTTGGGTCAACTGTCAGCAAAGACACAAGTCTGTGACACTGCTCTTTGCTGTCCCTTGACAACTCCTGACAGGGAGAGCAGCTGTCTTTATCCATTTACAACATGCTGCTCCTGGGTTGTGAGTGGGCAATCATCTCTACAGGGGCACCAAGGGAAACCAGCGCTTTGTTGACTGGAAACATCTTCCAGCTTCTCTGTACATTTTATAATATATTTCAGACATGTGTGTGATTCTGAAAATCCTGGTGTTTTGCTGATGGTGTGTTATGGAAGCCTCTACCTTCATTTAGCAAGTTAGAGTCTTATGGCACAAGCTGTTGTTATAAGTCACTGATAAAACGCTGTAGACGGCTCATCACCGCCATAGCAATGTTACCCACAAGTATAGTCAGAATGTTTGTGCTGAGAGCACGGTGGTGTGTAACCTGCTGAATTTATTGTCACTGAACTCTGGCCCCAGATAGAGGGTGCATGTGCTGGGGTTGTAGATGGATGCTGATGGCAGGCCTATCAGCAGAACTGGGAAAGGCTAGGAAGAAGCTTTCCTTTTTTTCTAGAAGGAAGTATGTATCAATCTAGGGGAGATGTTTTTCTGGCCTGGGAGACAGAACCCTTCCAGTATGTAGCAAAATAACTTTTTTATTTTTTGTACTTACTCTGTCGTACCTGTTGTCTAAACTCCTGTCCAGTCTCTTTATCTTCCCCGTCTTTGCCTAATGAGTTCAGATAGCTTTGCTAACAAGCTGGCTTCAGTAACAGCTTTGCTTCCTGTGATCTAGACTGATACTGAGTCAGTTTTTCTTTTCTTTTCTTTTCTTTTTTTTTTTTTTAAATCTGGGTAATATGCAGGATCTAGGAGCAGGTGCTAATTTAAAACAAAGCCCAAATTTATTTATGTTGAGGTTGTAAAATTTTCTTTCCATGCAAGCTGTAACATATCTGTATATGTACGTGATTCTCAGTGTTTTGACACTTCATATCCTCACTCCTCTTTCCTGTCACTCACTGTGCACTCTGTGCGTTCCTGTACTTTGTCCAGCCTACACAGCCACCTGGTGCTGTGAATCCCACTGCTTCCAGGGGCTGCTCATCCAGGATTCCCAGAGCTGACTCCTCCTGGTAAGGGTCTTCAAATCTTTCCTAGGCACCTTAGTAGAAATGACCTAGTTGACAGAAAGAGTGAGAAGCCCGCAGATCTCCTTCCTGTCAACAGGAGCTGACTTTGCTTGGTAAAGCAAAATCGAGCCACTTATGTTTCAGTACATAAGCATGGGTTTTGGGACATAGTCTTAAATGTTCAGTGCGGATGTTTTTAGGGGAGGATGAGCTTCAATGGAAGATTGTTTTAAGGCATTATTCAAAGGTATATACACCGTATTTATATTAATAAGGACAATTATAATAATTTTCTTTTTCAACAAAAAAGTACTACTGAACTCCTTTTATGGCAAGGCATTAATAATTTGTGTAATTATCATAGTTATTGCCCTGTGCCAGTATCATGCTTTGTGTTGAACACTGTATTAATCCTTCCTGCATGAGGAACTCCTCGCTAAAGGAATCTGTTCTCACTGCTCACTAGAAAGGCCAGGTCCTCCCTGGAGATAGTTCTAGGTAAGAAATACTTCTCATAAGCAGCTTGCTATAAATGGTGGCACAGAACACAACAGTGCGCCTACCATACAGCTAACATCTCTCTCTCTCAAAAAAACCACCTTGTTATTCAGTGATATATGTGACCTAGAGATACATTAAGCGTTTCCATCGTGCTGCAAATATCTAAACCACCAAGTTTCAGTTCTCGCTTCTCACCCCCATGAGTTAAAGCCAGCAGACTGCCATAGCACCTATTCATGTATAGATTTAATCCCAGGGGCACGTCTGCACACTTGCAAGAAGGAGTGTCTGGTCAGCTGTTGCCACAGTGATAGCACACACAAGCAGCAACCAAGAAGAGAACCTGTAGCTGCATGTATGCTTTGGTGAATTTGGATGTTTAGGGGGATTATTTCTTCCTGCATGCAATATATTTGGAAGCCTTGATGTGCCTTTTCTTCCATTCTAGTGAGAAGTCTTGTGTTAGAGGGAAAAAAAAAAACAGTAAATGTGTTAGGTTTGTTCTGCAAAATTTTGTTATAAATGCAAAGGTATCTGCAATGCAGAGCTGAAATGCTTATTACAGTGGTTTGAATCTCGTGAGTAGGTGAAGGTGCTTAAAATCGTTCCTGCGGAAGCGCAGCTAAATAAAGTACTTGTTAAATGTGGAACAGGACAAAAAAATCATACAAAGATCCAACGTGGCTGCCACTGGGGAAATGTTAGGTACCTGCTTCTTACAGAAAATAGAACATGGCTTAAATAATTTAAAATCTGGAATGTTTTCCATAGGAACAAAAAAGGCAGCTGTAAACCATTTCAGGGCTGCTGCATTTCTTTGTTTCTTAAGGATGGTGGGGATCTGTGCACAAACATCAGCGAAGGGCAGCGTTCGGAGCTGTTCCCTGCCAATTGCTGACAAAGGCAGTCCTAATGAATCATTCTGAATTGTGATCATGTGCTACCAGCCCACAGCGAGCTGCCAAAGAGGAAGTGCAGCTTGTTTTCTTTCATTTTCTTGATTCCCGTGCTGTAGGAAGATGAAAGGAGAAGGAGGAGGAGGCAGCAGCGGCAGCCAAACTTAATAAATAATTCTGACGATTCCTGATATCAAATGGAGGCCCCTGAGTGGGACCCACTGAAAAATGACACCCTTCCACCGACCCTGACGCCAGCTGTCCCTCCGTACGTGAAGCTGGGCCTGACCATTGTATATACTGTTTTTTATTCACTGCTTTTTGTGTTCATCTACGTCCAGCTGTGGCTGGTCCTTCACTACAGGCACAAGAGGTTCAGTTACCAAACTGTCTTTCTGTTTCTGTGCTTGTTTTGGGCCTCTCTTAGGACTGTGCTCTTTTCATTTTACTTCAAAGACTTTGTCACAGCAAATTCTCTCAGCCCCTTCATCTTCTGGCTCCTCTATTGCTTCCCCGTCTGCCTCCAGTTTTTCACCCTGACCCTGATGAATCTTTACTTCACACAGGTAAGCAACAGATATTTGATTAAATCTGACAGAAGGATAAATTATTGTTTTGTAACATTTGTGAGAAGGATGTAATTTCCTGATGTACTTTGGCAAAGCAAAAAGCAAATTTCAGATAGCTTAGTTTGAAATTGTAATGTTTGATCTGTGTGCAAGCAATCGGTGTTACAGAGAACCTGGAGCCTGCGGTGATCATTTTGGGAATGGCAAATAGTGTCTATTGTCTATGAAATGGGTGTCATTTAATTTAAAGGGAGGGAAAAAATATACAGGAGAGCTTGACGGCTCGATGTCCAAAATACTGTTCTGTTATTATTCTTTACTATTGTTTTTACTGCTTAGCTTAGGCATTGTAAGCCTCCCAGCTTAACAGACCTCAGTCTCAATAATTTTGCAGGCATCTCCCTCCCAGCTCAGATTTTTCGTAAGTCAGCTGAGATAGTTCTCAGTGGGGAGATTTCTATTCCGTATTGACAGCCATAATGCAGATCAAGTCCTACTGCAGACCCAAGTTCCTATAATGGTCTGTGTTACACACAGCAGTGAGTGTGGGCCCCACTACGTGCTAGGTGCTGTACAGAGGTGCGCTCTCTGTTTCAAGGACTCTGTGATATTAAGGTAAATCAGCTATGTTACGAAGGAAGCAGCATCTCTATATCAGAAAGACACCTTGAGAACATATCTGTGCTGTGGACAGCTAGGAAGCCAGATGCATCAGGCTGCACAGAGCTCTGTGTTGCTGCAGTTAGACTTGCTTGGAAATATTTCTGGTAAGCTTGGGTATATTGACACTAGGTTGCAGGATGAGATGTCAGCATGCTGAGGCACAGAAAGGCTGCTAGGCTTGCCTGGGATCTTACAGGAAGCTTGCAGAAGAGCAGGGATTGAATTCTCTTCCATCCCACTACAGTGCATGCAGGAGGACACCAAGCCCTCAAATGATTCTTGCCAGAGGCAGCTTTTCCAATGCAGGGACAGCTGGCAAGGGGAACCCTGGGCAGTACTCAGGATGCTCTGTGTGTATCTGCATGCCCTGCTTGGGACCAGCTCAGTGCCTTGCTTTGGGTGCTTTTATAGTGCCTGCAATGCTTACAGTGCTGTGTAGCAATAGAAGGCTGTGAACTCAGAACAGCCAGGCTGGAGAGGTCAGGGTGCGTGTGAGAGCTGCCATTCCAAAGCTGAAAAAGCAGAGCACGTAAGCATGAAAGCTCTAAGAGGATCATTTGAGTTGCAGAGGGTATTACTTAGGACCACGTACGTAGTTTTGCACTTAGGTTTACTTCTCTGGATTCAGTGCCTTAAATGCCTGCAACTCATACCACTCCACTCCTCAGGACTTGAAACATATTAAGAGATTAAGGAACCTTTCATCTACATACTACTCAAATCCAGCTCAGGCATTTAATCACCTATGCTTGATCCCATGACATTTGATAACGATACAGTTCTCCTGAGGCTAATGTCCATCATCACATAGTCCATCGCCATCACAGCAGCTGGGAATAAACTATACCCGTAGGTGAGATTCTTCCCTCAGACACACAGAGGGCTGCCATGGAAGGCTGGAGAGTGCAGCATCCTGGGTTATAGCCAAGAGAAGTCAGGGCTGAAGTGAACACAGAGCGCGCATGTTGAGCTGTACTCTGCAGCATTTGTGCCAGTGCTCAGAGGCTGTGTCATCAGTAACTGATTCCTCTATTTAAGGGAGGTGTAAAAAGAGAGTATACAGAATGTGTGCATCTGTCCTTTTAACTTATTTTTGGCATTGCTGTCTGATATCACTAAGGAAGTACAAGACATTGGCTGGAAACACAAATATTGTAAGGCTATTGGCTCTGCCTCTGACACGATTTCTGCTTTGTCACCATGAGTCCTCCTGATCTTCCTCTGAGCCTCTCTTCAAAGGAGCAGCATGGTTACCTGTCTTGAAGAGCTGCTATGAGGATTTTGAAACATTTACACAGGACATTCAGAGCCTGTGATGTGTGTCATAATCTCTAAAGATTGTGAGCCACTGTAGACAGGCATATTATTAGTAGTGGTGTTTGCTTTAGAGCTAGTTGCTGCCAGTGAAATCTCATCTCAAACATCTCCCTAACCACAATGAAGTCTTAAGAAATACAAGTACAGCCATTGTAGGAATGTGATGTAAAGACACAGAATAGGCGCATGTATTTTTAATTCACTGTTATTTACTTCTGGCCATTAAAAGGTGGTTTGGCTTGAAATTCAGCATCTTCTTAAGTCTGTATTTTTAATGTGCATCTAGCTTTCCACAGCAGGCAAGCAAGAACTAGTGAAAGGGGTGGGGAGAGAAAATTTTGTTTTCAGTAATGGCTTATAACTTCACAGACCTGTTCAGAAGCAGCATTTATGCTTCTTTCTCTAGAAGGAAGGAAAGAAAGATCTACAGCTGTGTCTCACTGCATGAAAACCATGCTACTTAACTGGTGCTTAGCTGTAGGGAAATGAGTGATCTGTGCAAAGTATGGGAACAGAAGATGGGAAGACCTCATGGAATTTGCAGGTGTTTACCTTCTGTCTGGCACTCAGCACTTCTAGAAGAGACACTGCCTTTTAGACACAGAGGTGAGAAAAAAAAGTGATTCCAAAAGTACAGCAGGTCTTCCTGGCCCAACAGAAAAAAAATCATTTGGCAAATGCCTGAGGGCATTTTTCGGAATAATAAGCACCTTTGAACTTGACAGAAAGTTAGCCACAATTATTCTGTTTTTAATTGGTATCCCAAAGCAATGAGGACATAAATTTGGACTCTCTCTTATGTGTAGCAAGGCAAATTAGCCACAATGGTGTCAGCTCAGCAGGGGTTATTCTTGAGCATTGCCATCAGCAGACACAGCGGAAGCTCTGATGCACTGTGAGGTATTGCTAGACCAGAGGACCTGTGGACAAAAGAAAAGCTACAATCAAAATGGTTTTGAGTCAGAACTGCTCCTGAGAATTGTTCTTTGAGTGGGGAGGTATGGTCAGGATGGTCTTGATGGCAGAATAAAAAGGGTGCTGTAGGTAAGGCTTATGTAATGTTACCTTCTCTCAGAAATCAAACAATGGAAAAAATATGTGCTATTTCTAATGAGGAAGCTGAATTTTCTAGATTTTTTGTTTTGTTTTTAATTTATAAAGTCTTCATTCAATCTCCTGCCTTCTAAAGGAGAACATGAATGGTAACTTCCCTCTCAGATTAACTTTCTGTCTTCAACCTAACATCTGCAATTATCAGCATTGTACCAGGCCAGGGCAGCTCCCAGGTCCATCCAACAAAAAGCTGCAGTGTACATTTCCACCTACTGAAACAAAAAATCCCATAGCTATACATCTGTATCTCTCTTGCTCGATAAAGCAAACACCATACACCAGCAAAAAACATATTTTCCACTTTAACTGAATGCAGACCACGAGGATCCCAGGAGTCAAGAAGTCTTCCCAGCCCAGAGAGGGGCCTCAGGCCTTATGGTCAGTTCTGTGGACATAAGTTTAAAGAAGCTCTGGGAAATAAAATAAAACATTGCCCTTTTTAGTATGGAAGTGGGAAGAGAAGGGTTTGCTTCATTTTGTCCTGTTTCAGGCTTTACTTTTCACTGGGGAGCAGGATGCAAGGGAATGAAGAGACAGGCTAGGATGTAGGGCTACCGGCTCAACAAAGTCAAGGCCAAAGAACATGAGCCATTGGGGATGCTGGAAATCCAGGTCCTCCACTGCAGGGAGGCACGGTGAGCCACTTGTTGGGCTGTGGGTTTAACCATAGGGTTGGGAACTCCTCCAGCATCTGGGGAAGGTGGTGCTGAGTTGAAGAACTGTGAGGCTGTATAAGTGGAGAAGGGCTGCTAGGCAGATTCACCTCTCTTTTTTCCTCCCTAACCATATTCCATTTTTTCTCTGGCACCCAGACTGAGGAACGTACTCTGCCTCCCAGGCAAGGCTGATAAAATCAGGGACTTTCAAATGAGGGAGAAATTGTGCAGAGTAAGGCAGTCAGACAGGAGCTGGCCATGCTGGAAGTGCCTGGCAGGGTGGGGAGAAACCAGCACCAGGCTTTCAGGGAGGCTGCATTTATCTCCATGGAGCTGGAGTACATGTTATCTGTGAAGGAAATTGAGAGATTCTTATCCGCTAGTTACTCTGGGCAGAATTTTAACAGTAATACTACCAGTGAGAGAATAGAGAGGGTTTGTTTACAGCATGCTTCAGACATACATAGAACTATAAAGGAGTCCAACTACAGGTGGTAAAGCACCAGAGTATAAATTTGACTTTAAACATTGCCCTCTGTATTAGATCTGTAGGAGACAAACTGAAATGGCAGACTGGCTGCCTGTCAGCATCTGACATGAGAAATGACATCATTTGCTTTGGAAAATAATTTGACAGGAAGGCTACACATGCAAACTTAGCATGGCTGTTGGCCCTGCAATAGCCCCAGCCCTTGTTTTTGCCAAGCTGCACAAGGCTGAGTATGGCAGGTGGTCATAGCCCATGTCAGCAGGCTTTGCAATGCTCACAGAGTTTAGGGAGTAGAGGGATAAAGTGGGCATGCTTGGGAGAATCTGATCCAGGAATAAGGGAACGATTTACAGGAAAGAACAAACATGGAAGAAGGAGAAAAGTGGGCCTGGGACTGGAAAATACACAGAAAAAGAAAGGTGATGGTGAAGGGCTTTGGGCCTGCATGAGGCTGGGTTGTTTTTTTTAGGGCACAAAGACTAGTTTGCATGGAATGTGACAGCAGAAGAGAGGGACAATGTTGAGAGAGACTGGGAAGGAAAAGTATGCTCTGTGCTCCACATACAGCTCCTTGAAATGAAGTAAATAAAGCTGAACCTCATTCCTCTGCAGAGGACCAGCTGGACAGGTATGAGAGCACTTAACACATACCTGAAGCTTTTGGTGAGCTGAACAGCCAGTAAAAGTGAGTTGAGCCATCCGACACAGAGGTATCCTGGAGGTTCGTGCCTGGATTCACATCAGTGCAGCTAAATCAGAGCATAGATTGAAAGCTGCTCCAGTGAGATTTTTTTTTTTTTTTTTTTTTTTGCTCTAGGAGTATGTGATTTGGCTCTGACACCTGTTTCCTAACATGGACAGGGTGGCTCCTGATGTAACTTTGATAACCACAGCTGTAACCCCCATAAGTCATAGCAGCTGGGCCCTGCTTGCCTGCCCTGCTCTCTGCTGAGGCACTGCCCTCCATCCCCACCTCTCTTCTGCTCGGGCTGGTGAAATGCCTTTAAGGTCAGCTGTTTACATCAGTTCCTGAAACACAGGAATTTTCCCTGGCTGTATCTAGGTCTTTTTTGGAGTGCTTTTGTACTGCTGCCCTTTTATATGCCAGACATATACCTCAGGGGAGTCGAGGAGGGAGTGTGAGAATCTCATTTGAGGTTTCCAGTCCTTCAGCAAAGAGAAAGTCAAAAACAGGATAGCTCTCCTTCAGAAAGAAAAAAAAAAAAAAAAAAAAGTGAAAGGGGAAAGAAATTAGGAGGAGAAGTAACCCTTTGCCATTAGAAAAACAACAAGACATTTCACAGAGTTTTCCTGGTTGCTATTCCCACTGGGTTTCTCTGAAAGGTCTCTTTTAAGAGGTTTGCCTTCTGTGAGCTGTTTGGTCTATTCTTAGGAATAGCTGCTTTGCTTTGCTCTGGTTTGCTGGAAGCCTTGCTGAGATGACTCAGATACTGACTGGAAGCTTTCTCAACATTCTTGCAGGGAGGGGCCATTGGGCAACCTTTCTTCCACGGCTCTTTGGAGTTAAAGAGCTGCACCCACACATCTGAGGTATATTGAGCTCAGCTTCAGACACCCTTACTCCCCACTGAATGGCTCTTTGTTCCATGCCAATCACATTGCTTCCAGTGAGGTTACTCATGAAATAAGGCTGCAAAGACAGCAGAATGTGGCTGCCTGTGTCTCTGGCAGTCAATTTGCACGAGTATCCACGAGTTACACAAGCAGTGTCCCTCTACATAGCGTCCTTTTTCTGTGCAGTACTTTCTTCATGATTATTTTGCTCTGACAGAATGCAGAAGCATCTGTCTGTTGGGGCAATTCCGCCAAACCCAGCATCCCCACACACAGCTGCTCCCACACTGGGAGATGTGGCCCTGCGTTATACCAGCAGCAGGAACGTCATGTGTGGTTCTTGCTAAATTAACTGTGGGGATTCTACTGAGTGGGGCAGCCTTGGGCTGTTTGATGTGAAAGCAGTGTTCTGTGACATTACGGGGGTGGTTGCAACCTTTTAGGGGAAGTACAGGAGTTGGCATTGAGGAACAAGTGAATTTCCCAGGCTTTGTGGACCTCGCACAACTCATTTCTCACTGCAGATTGTCTCATGGAGCTCTTTGCACAGGTTCTGAACACCTCTGTTCCGTGCTGCTCCTGAAAGCTGTCAGAATTAATGGTACAGCATGTGAGTACTGCTGCTGAGGTCAGCATTCCCACACCTCTTACACCTCCCCCCTAGGTAGCAAGTAGGTAAAGCAACATGAAACTTGTTTCTGATTTCCTATGGGAATTCAAGATCTAAGAATTTGGAGAATGGATCGCAAAGATCTTCTCTAAGGGATATTGCCAGAGATGTTCTCTACTGGGAAATAATGTCAATGGCTGCAGAATATTTTTAGAGATTTCCACCCTCGATATTTCCATTTTATTTTCAGCTGTTACTTTTCTAAGGTCTGCTGAGAGACTCGGTGCTCTCTGCTGGTTCCGCTAGTACTAAGCAGACTGATGTGTCATAAAAGTAATTTTCAACTCAAGGCAGCTGCTTCTGGTGAATAGCAGCTAAATGACACGTTATTCCAGGAGCGCTGGAACAAATGAAGCCTGATTTTCTGCAGTTCTGTGTCTCATGCTTGACTTTGACCTGTGTCTGAAGCTGTTCCCATGACAGAGGCATTTCTCATGGCACTTGCCTGGGCAGTATCTCTCAAATCAGGTGATGTGTGGGGCCATTCTGTGGGATTCTCCTCACAGAGGACATATATCAGATGTATTTCAAGCACGCCTTACTTCCGTTGGGTCACTGATTTTCAGGAGGGTGACAGAAGGGTCATGTCTCTGGTTCTGAGTATTTTGGTGACCAGATTGTTTTGAGTCTCCTCTCCTCTGGGCTGAACAACCAAAGAGATCTCAGCCTTTGCTCATACATCTTACCCTCCAGAGCCTTTGCCATTTTTGTCACCTTTTTTTGGACAGATAAACATACTGACAAGGTGGACATATGCCTATTACCTACACAGTGATCATGTAATTCCTGTTTCCTTGGCAGAGCATGATAATCATACTAGCTGTTATGGAAGTTACACCAAAGGACATGTGATACTAAGTGAAATGGATAAAGTGGGATGACTTGAGAAGAAATCAATTGGGAAACAACCCTAGGGAACAGCCACGCAGCATGTTATTTTGTAATACTGGTAATCAGTTTGCTTCAGCTGTGACTGCTGAGTTAAAAAAAAAAACAAAACATTTATAAAGGTTTATAAGCTGAGTGTGTTTAGTAACCATGTTAACTTTTGAAAAAGCAGTGATACTTCCCTAGATCATCTTTAATAAGCAAAATGCAAAGTATGCTAATATGTTTCTGTACAGTTTCTGATGGTGGTTGAACACCTGTGACTGGTACTACCTGCCTACATTACGTGTTTCAGTATTTTTTTCTTTTCAGCCTGGAAACTATTGTGCCTGAGTGCTCTCTCTGTAAAAATATGTATTGTTCTGTTTGTGAACAGACAGCCAGTAGAAGCTAAATAAACCTCAAAGTAAAGTGATTTCACTGGCATCCTTTCGGGAAGCAATATGGATGCAAATTGATATCACCAATTTCAGGCCAAGGTACTCCAGCAAGCTTTACATGTGTGTACAGCACGAGACCCAGTGTGCCAGTATGAGCTGGTCTGTATGAGATGCTTGTACTTACTGGATGTATAAGAACCTAATAATTATTTATCTCTTGATTATACAAGCTCTTGTGAATACTGATAATCAGTATTATATGTGATACTGATATAAGTGAAAGCAGTGGTGCAGACAATTTGTATAACAGTATGTGATCGTCTCTTGCTGAGTGGTTTTAATACTTTGTTTATATCTTGCCTACCATGGACAAGACATACAGGTGAATCTATCACTACATTTCATGTGACATGTGAGACAGGATTCCTGTGGAAAAAGCATTTTTCTTTACCCATGTGTCCTATGTTTGATGCAGTATTTTTCTGTTTTGCAGGTGATATTTAAGGCTAAATCAAAATATTCCCCAGAGCTACTGAAATACAGGTGAGAACTGTGAAAATCTTTGGTGTGGTGAAGAAAAATTGACATGTACTTCTAGGAACGCTGATAGTTTGTGATGCTCATATCTCTGCTACTCATATTTAAATACTGGTGTTTCATGACAATGGTTCTGAGGCCAGCTTCTTCCTATTATGTTTCAAAGTCCGTGTCATTTCCCAATACATGCACCATTTTTAGACATTCATGTATTTCAAAGGGAAATATTTCAAATGCAAGCAGAAAGCACTGACCCTGCTGGTTTGCCTACGTTCATAAAGAACCTGTGGATGCTAGGTGAATCCAGGCCCAGAACTTCGGTAACGGTAGCAGGGTGACATATTCATTGCAATAGGAAAAAGTGGGTATGTCTTAACCAAGAAGCAAGATAAGCGGTAATAAAAGGTTTTGGGGAGCTGAGAAAAGAATTATGAAGGGAAGGAGCTAGAGAGAATGGATTCAAAACAATGGTGTTTTGGGGAGCTTATAGATGACTTACCGTAATTCCATAGAGCTGAGATTATGATGGCTTTGCATTCAGGTGGTAAGATCTGTTTAAGGTCTTGTTTGAGCAGGAAGGGTTGTCAGGAACTACTTGAAAACTCCTCAAAAGGCCTAGATGTCCAGAAAGTTAAGGAAGAGATCAATAAATTATTCTTTACTGTGGCAATGCCTAAAACCATTGGTCAGGGGAAATATTGCTTAGATAGGGCAAGAGGGAGATAGAGAGAGGTTGTCTTCTTTTTAAATAAGGAGTTTACAGTCTGAAATCAGGATAGGAAAGCGGAGTGATTTGCAACTGAAATCTGACCCCTTATTTACTGACTATTCAGGAGAAGCTGGTACTGTATCAACAGGCGGAATACTAATACTGTCTGTGCCCTGGAAGGGGAAACCTAGCCTATCTGGCTAAGTTTTGATGCAGCTGGAGCAGCAACCACCTGGAGCTAGTGTTTGAGAAACCTCGTTTGGTAGAATGGCAGGACAGCGAGAGTGGGCTTGGGCTGAGTGGTGCTTGGACCAGTGACCAGTGAGGGTATGAGACATGTGACAGTTGGGTACTCCAAGATGATAAGCAGCGAATGCAGAAATTCTAAGGATGGAAACAGAGAGGCTGCATCTGTTTTGGTGGCCCCAGGAATGCTTTGAAGTTAGTTGGTCTGTGTGCATACTTTGGCCACATCCCAAACCAAAAAGAGCAAGAGCCAGGTGCTCACTGATGAACACTGTGACATACAAATACATTCATCCCCCTTTGGGCTCTGGTTTCTGTGGGAAGGAAATCCAGGAGTGAGGGTTGTCAGGCAAATATTACACACACTCACCAGGTCCCCAGCCAGCCCTCAAAGCAAGTGAGAGAGTGTGCCTGCCCCTGATGGTACACTAGCCAAAAGGAACAAAGAGGTTGTGCAACACCTGAGCTGCAGGTATATCATGGTGTAGGGAAAGTCTATGAACATGTTTCTGGTTGGCTTTAAAGGTGAGAGGTAGCAGCTTTGAACCTTGTACACTACTGGCATTTGTGGCAGTATTTATTCTTAAAAAGTGCTTGAAACATTCTTTCTTCATGCAAGGAGAGCTCGTGAGCTTGTGATGTTTATTTAACATCTGCTAAGTGAGCACATACTGCCCTGCCCTCAACATTTTTGTGTTCATCTAGACTCTTGCCTACTGCATTTCTAACACTGATCACTCTTGGATCTGGTCCAGCCTTATCTTTCATATTTAGCTCTGTTGGTAAAGGATAACAAGAAGAGTTTTGTTCTAATATCTAAAAGTATTAGTATGAATGTGGTTAGCCCGCGTGAAAGAGCCTAATAAGTGAAGCTGACCTCATTTCAGGGCAGTTCAAGTGATGTAAATATATGCACACCTGCAGCAGTGGTCCTGTGTCTTAATTGTAAAAAGCTAGTGAAAAATGGATGATTTGGGCCTTCATACAGGGGTTGGTACCTACACTTAATGAATTTGATTTTTCTTTTCTAAATGTTCAGGATTTGGATTTTTTTTTCCTGGTTTTTTTTTTTGTTGTTGTTGTTTCTTGTTTTTGTAAGTGTGAAACTTTATTACCTGGTGTCATTTCTGCATCATGGCAGGAATGGATAATGGTAACATAAACAGATCAGCAGAGAGGTAGGACTGTGGTCTGTGTATTACACAGGTCTCATAAACCAGAATCATTTCAGATAAGGAAAAAGTCCTATCAGGGTTAGAATCTTAAGTAAACTTTTCTCAGCATAGGTTTCACGATATTAGTCATTGTGGCAAAAAGAGCTCATGGCCAAGTCTGTACCAGCCCAGCCTCATATATAACAGTCCTCCTGCATGTCTCCCTGGGCTTAGGGATTTCTTACAGTCACTGGGTTCGGTTGAGGCTTACTGTGCTATGTGTTTATGCACATAAGCCTCAGATGGTGTATACTTTCTGAGGAACCACACACAAAGTGTAGTAGTTTCACACATTTTCTCATTAATCAGGGCAAAATTCATTGTGTTTAGTACGAAGCTCAAAGAAAAACTTACTAAAGACAGAAAAAAGGAATGCCTTGGTATGTGCCTTCTCTGACAAGCCAGGTTACACATAGCTCCTTCTAGGGGACTAGCCCCAAAATGGGAATTATGCACAATAGGCTGTTTGAACAGTTATTGGTGTAATGTGGAAGGACTTCTCCTGACTTGCTTTCTATCTTCTGGAACAAACAAACAAAAACTGTTTATTCATGCTGTATAGGTGCCTGTGTAGATGAGACGTAAGGATGCATTCTGCTTTTAAGTGAGGCTGCAATGCTTTCTGCAGCTGCAGAGACCCTAAAACTGCCATGAGAGACACAGTCTACATCTCCATCAGTGCTTATTCAGAACTCCAGCAACAATGCTTCTTTTGTCAAAGCAGGCAGCAAGCAGGCTGTCTCCCCAGCCGCATCATGTTAATAAGGGGGTTGGGAGCTTGTTATGTGAAGAGCTGTCATGGCCCATCACTTATGCAGCTCACACTGGCATATACAGGAGTGTGTGGGCAGGAGAGCTCAACAGTGCTTTTTATTTTTACTTTTTTGGCTAAACTCTGTCAAGGAGGAGCCTGGCTGGTCATGAGACGGCATCAAGAGCAAGCAGGCTGCACTGGAGCAGAAGATTCTTCTGACTAAGTTGAGCAAAAAAAGAGTGCATACTTACTGTCCTGCGAGTAGACAGTGTGTAAAACACTCACCAGAGCATTTTGCTTACTCACACTGCAGTGAGGTTGCATATGAGCAATGTGGATGCTCGTGAGGCTGTTAAATAGGCTTTGGGAGGGGAAAGAAAGGAAGATGCATGACCATCACATAAAGACTTCTGAAATATTAATAGAATCACAGTATATCCTCAGTTGGAAGGGATCCACGGGGATCATCGAGTCCACACAGCACCACCTCAAATCCAAACCCTATGGCTGAGAGTGATGCCCAAACGCTCCCTGAACTCCAGCACTCGGGGCCGTGCCCCGTGCAGCCTGTTCCATGCCCACCGCCTCTGGTTCAGCACCTGTCCCCAGCCCCCACTGCCCTCCCTGACGCAGCTCCATGCCGTTCCCTCGGGCCCTGTCGCTGTCACACACAGCAGAGCTCAGCGCTGCCCTCCGCTCCCTGTGAGGAGCTGCAGCCGCCATCAGGCCTCCCCTCAGCTCCTCTGCTCTGCGCTGAGCGCACCCAGGGGCCTCAGCTGCTCCTTCACTATGTTCATAACCTTCCTTTGGATGCTCTCTAATAGTTTGATATATTTATTATATTGTGGTGCCCCAGACTGTAAAGATAAATACAGTATTCACACTACAAGTGGGAACTGCATCCTCCAGATGAAGCTGTGTGAAAGAGGAGCTCCAGGACTGCAGTGCTTTTAGCATTAGGCTGTGAGGTTTAAAGGAGCTTGCCTCTAGCTGCTTGTTCTAAGGACAGAGCCCTGCCCTGGAAGAATAACAATGAGCACAATCTTCCCCCTGAGAGGGAATTTCCATGACCAGCAAGGGAAAGACAGCAGTCTTGTTTGCTGCCAGATATAGCTGGAAAGAAGGGCATTGATTTGTTGACACAAGCAGGCACTTTGAGGCTTTCAGCTCTCCTCATTATGCATCTAAATGTTCTCAAAGGTGTACCTCTTCCTTTCCTGCCCTCTGAAAAGAAGACAGCTACTCTTCTGTTTTGTAGCTGGGTTGGTAATGTCCTAAAAGGATGTAAACACATGCCATGAGGTAAAAGTATTTTTAAACAATCCAAATTTGATTCCTCAGAGACAGTCAAATTCAAAATTCACATCAAACATGAAGGATTAGGGCCAAAACCACTTGCTCTGTGACTGCAGATTATAAACCCTATCAGAAATTGCCTCGGACAACAGAGATAAAGAAATAAGCAAACACTTGAAATGTAAATATGTTTCTTTTTATTTGTTTGTTTGTTTGTTTATGGAAACCTCTGCAGCTGTGTGTAGGAGTAAAGAGAAGCAGTCTTCCTTGGGTGTATGGCTTACTTATGTTGCAGGTATCACTTCTGGGTGGGTGGGAAAACAAACCAGTCCAACTCCTGGGCTTCTGTCACATTTCTGTTCCAGCTCTGCTCCTGTGGTTGTGCAAACAAACCCTTTATCTGGCATAGGTGGCAAAATGCCAACCCAGAATCAATGTGCATATTTGCATTTCTTGATTGTTCTTTTAAGAGGTTGCCCATAACAAAAATGTTTAAGAAAAGGGACAGAGAACGATGCTGGGGAGCCAGTAATTCAGAATTTTCCTATGCTTAGGCTCTTCCCTAATTTAATATGAAATCTTATTGGAAACACTGGCAGTCAGTGACGCTTTTCATGGCAGTAAAACCAGGATCAACAACAGTCCTTTCTAAGCAGCTCAACCTTTTTCAAGGTTTATCCTGTCAGCAAATAGTCGGATGGTTTGTGCCATATATGAAATGCATGTTTTAAGAAAGTACATGTGTATTTTAAGTGATTTGTAAGAACTGGGCTGTTGTATCTCTGCTGCACTCTTCCAAATTTTATTGCCTGACATTAGTTTTTTTACTTACTGCTTATTCTGTGACTGTAAAAAAAGGTCTGAAACTAGCTCTGTTCACCTCTCCAGCAATCTGGAGTGCTTAGATTTGGCTGTGGGTCACTGGTCAGCTGTGGCAGCTCAACATGTGCAGCTTCCATTACTCAGAGTTGCAGCTTCCTTCTCGTGACTGACACTTGCTGAACAATGTCGCTAAAACTGTTTTCTCCTCACTCTCCCAGGTTGCCCCTCTACCTGGCTTCTCTTTTCATAAGTCTCCTCTTCCTCTTGGTGAACTTAACATGTGCAGTATTGGTGAGGACACAGAATTCAGAGAGAAAAATCATTGTCTCTGTCCGGGTGGCAATTAATGACACGTTGTTTGTGCTCTGCGCTGTTTCACTCTCCATCTGCCTGTATAAGATTTCCAAGATGTCTTTAGCCAACATTTACTTGGAATCCAAGGTAAGGTACATTTTCAGTTCCTTTTAAAGTACCTTCTGAGAGACATAGGTAATGCAAGGCAGAGACACATGGTTCTTCAGATCCCCCAAGAGCTTAGAGTCCTTAGACTTCACAGCTTGCACTTGGTTGTACATCCTGCTCAATAAATAAATACTAAGGAGTAGAAGGGGTGCTTTTGTCTAAACCCACAGACCCCAAAATACATATTTAGAACAGAGTTTACAGAACTTCTGGCTGTAGTTCCTCACAGCTGTTTTTAAGCTGGGTGCCACCCAACTACATTTCAGTACTGCTTCAGAGAGGTGGTCTTTACTTTGAGATCCTTCAGTTTGTCAAATTATTGGCTGATTATTCTAAATGTTTAAGGTAGCAGTGTGCTGAAGGTAAACCAGAAAAAGGAATACAAATATACTTTGTAAATTTGCATGGTGTCCTATATATAATAATAATAGCTTTTAATGTATTATAAATTCATCCAAACAGAGAGAAGGGGGAAAAGGTCTCTCCTATTAATCTACAAAATATTCTTTCAAGAAATGTTGTTTACTTCAGAGCTTTGCTGGAAGAGCTGGGTCTGCAGGTGTCCTAAAAGCTAGCTGTGTTTGTCATAAGTCAAAATGTTTTGTATCTATACAAAATGAAACAAGGTTTTCAATGGTCTTTGTATTCACAGTACATGGTTAGATCTTAAAGCAGATGATTAGTTCAACCAATAGTGCATTACCATTACCACAACAAGCATTCCAAAAATCTAAGTTTTAACTTCCATTTTAAAAATCTTATAATAAAATCCCTCCCTCCATTTGGTTAATCAGATGAAAAGAATACTTTTCCTGTTTAATCAAATCTGACTGTACTGCACAACAACTAAAAGTTCATGGCTGAACAGTAGATTTAAAAACACAGCTTAGTTTGTTTTGCTTCTTTCCAGTCTGTCATTTGCTGACCAAAGGGCACAGGCAATGGATTATTTTTACTGTTGAGAAAAGTTTATCTACTGCTGCAAGTCACAGAAGTGTAAATCTCTGTAACAAAGCAGTGTTAACCTACATGAGGCTTTGGTGGATTACTTCGTTCTGTTTCCTCCTTCTGCAGGAAACCTTATCTCCTTTACTTCAAGCTATTTCATGAAAAACAAAGAAACTCGAGTGTTATTGCAGACAGGAAAAGACAGGACAGAGCGCTAATGAAAGTTTGAATGTGTAAACTAGAATTAAAGAGCAGTGTACTTCTTTCTGCTGACCTGAAATGGAGTCCCTCTGGGGACTTCCAATAGGTTTTGGCTGCCCATACTTAGGGATACAGAAGGCTGGAGCTAGCAGTGAAATAACATCTTGGTTTAATCTGCCACTGCTGTGCTGAAAAAAATAGCTAAAGAGCTAAAGTTCAGTCTTTGCAGTGATACAATAGAAGCAGCATTGGAGAAAATGTGCATTCCGTGTTGCTTGGAGATGGGGATCAGTGCTGGCAGCCTTTTATTTGCATCTCTCATCTCATGGCATGCACTCTGTGACCACACACGGAAGTGTTAGCAGACACAGCATCACCTGCAGGATCTGGTGTGGGGCCAGACCTGGTCCTGAGCCGTGGCCCAGGCAGCACCAGGGAGGTGCAGAGCCCACCCATGAGTGTTGGGCCAGAAACGTCATGCACTTGGTCCTGCTACCTACATAGGGCTCCCTTCTTTTCTATGGGCCTGTGACTGAAGAGGGGATCCTTCCAGCTTGTTGAGCTGCATTTGCTTTCCCCAGGTCACCTGACTAGATTTGACTGGCAGTGAAAACAGAACAAGTTTAGTCCCTTTTTTTTTTTTTTGTATTTTGTGGCATTAGAGTTTGTTAAAGCTGCAGCATATTTAACTATTAAAGAATGACAGCCTTATGGGGAAACTGGAGTGGGGCAGCACCGACCGTGTGCTGCTCCTCGCTTCTGTTTTTAAATGCTGCTGAAGTGGGACGTGGTGTATGCTCATTAGCAGCTTCTCCCTGCTCGCTCCCCTGGGTTTCCATGGCAGCCCTGGTGCTCCTACAAAAGGAGAATGGGGAAGTGTTGAGTGGATGTTTCCCCTTTTTGGCACTTCCTGCTTGCTGCTCCCACTGCTGTGTGCTGGGTGTCTGTTCCAGTTCCCACACAGCAGCAGCCCGGCTTACTCTCGCCATGGCTGCAGGTTGGGCCTGGCTGGCGGCGGTGTCTGCGGCAGCGCTGTGAGCAGGTCATCAGGCAAAGACTGACGGCACTGAGGGTTTCATAATACTCCTGACTATTCAGGCTGTTCTCTGAAGCAATATAATTTTTTGCAGGAATTTTTTGCAGGCAAGCTATAGTTTCCTGACGAGTCGCTCTTTATTGCCTCTGGCCATGGAACACAGTGTGAGGTGTTTTTTTTTTGCTTGGCAAAGCCACAGGACAACAGCCACCAGCACGCGTGGGCAGCAGAGGGGCCTGGTGGGCTCCTGAAGCCAAGGCTTCACGGCTCGGTTAGGCAGGGCTTCAGGATGTGGTGACCTGGTGGCTTGCCCCGACCCATTTTGTGTCTGTGTTCTGCCTGTCTGCACCTCAGGCTGCCAACCTGCTAGCCAAGTACCTGAGTGGGGGGAGAGCTGTCTCCTGCCAGGGTATAAAAGGTCCCGTGAGGGGGAGCAGCTTCCCCCTTGGCTTGTCTGTATCAGCTAGATGAAAAGAGCCCATCTGCATCATGTGGGTCTCTGCCAGGAGAAGGAGGGCAGGTCTAGTGAAGCTGTATTGTGCTAGCCTAAAGCATGGTTCCTCAGAGCATTCTTCCTTTGGCTATGATAAACACTATTCCAGAGCGAACTGCACAGCGTTTGAGTTTCTTCCTTCAGAGCCAGCCTCATTTTGTATGCAGGCCTGCCACCATGATCAGACTCACTGATCCCCATAGCCTTGCCTCCTGGACTCCTCTGCTGCCACAACTCCTGTGCTAACGCCTCCGTGCCTTGATTCCAACAAGCGGCGGTCAGGAGCTGCCCTTGTTCCTCACACTGGTTGAGGCTCTTTCCCCTGCTCTGTCCCTTTTCTTCTCTGGGGCCGAGGAACTGTCATGACTTCATGCTTTGCAGTCTCATTCCTGCCCTGGTGCTGAAGGTCCTGCTTGCAGACTACCCGGCCATGGTCACTTTGCCCATGGGCTGTGCCTCCACTTTGTCTTCTCTGTGTTGACTTTTAGGTGAGGCAGGATGTTCTGTTCCTGTCTGCACTGTGTTTAACTGCTGACTGTTGTGATCTGCTCCTTACTTAGGAAATAGGTGCACGGCAAGTGGTTATAAAAAGATGCAAGGTTGCATCGTGCCAGTAGTGAGAGTCTGAGATAGGATGCTCAATAGCTGGCATGCAGCTGAATTCTTTAGCTCTATCCAATACCAGGTGTTCTCAGCTGCTTTCATTGCTGTGAAAATGGCACTTGTGCAGCAGTGACAGGTATTAACAGCAGCCCATCTTGGTAAGGCTTAGAAGCGCTGCCATTCCGTGGAAACCACTGTGCAGTACAAAAGAGTGCAGGATATACTGATCAAAGAAGGAAAACATCAGTCAGTCACTTTAGTCAAAGCAGTATAACAACCCCCCAGACTCCATGCAGTCAACTTCCCATGTGACTAATAACCTGTGTTCAAATCTTTTCCAGGGATCATCTGTGTGTCAGGTGACAAGCATAGGAGTGACTGTTATACTACTTTATACCTCACGCGCCTGTTACAACTTGTTCATCTTATCATTTTCCCAAACCAAGAAAGTCAATTCTTTTGATTATGATTGGTACAACGTATCAGATCAGGCAAGTATGAAAATATTTGCTAATGAGAAAAACTCATTCTCATCTGACAGCTGATTTCCTAAACATTATGACAAGAGGCATTAATATATTAAAATTCAATGGTTTTTTTCTTTTGTTTAATGCTATGAGATTGATTTGCTCCAGGAATAAGAATTTCTTGCAATAGTAGCAGAATGGAAAGCAGAAAGGGGGGGGAGGGGGGGAGGAAGCACTAAAAGGAAAATATAACTGTTAATTAAACAATTTTAAATATCGATCTTTTAATTAACATTCATTTTTATTTAACTGTTAAAAAATACATTTAAAAAGATCGGTATTTTGTTCATTGGAAAGAATGTACTGTAGCTGGAGAGCAGAAAAACAGTTCTTGATGCCACTGAAATGCAGAGTTCCAAGTTCTGAAGTCACCATCAAGTCTCCCATTGGCATTTAGTGCAGAGGAGTTATGTACCTTAATTCTGTGAGTAGCATATCTTCTCTAGTTTTAGGATCAGACTGTGATTCTTCACAACTTTTCATTGCAAGTTACAATTCAGATATTGTGAACTAGCAATGTTAGAAACACTAAAGGAAACAAGCAGGTAACTCTTCCTTGAATGTTATGAAATTTGGGCATCCAGCTCCTTTCTCTGCTTTGAAACACACAGGTCCCAGTAGTTTTCAAGCTCAGTCAAGGCTTGGAAAAATGGCAGCCTGTGTTTAGAGCCTGAGTAAATATTTTTGGGGCTTAAAATCCCAGATAAACGATGCCTTCTCACCACCGAGCAAGCACTTGCAGAACAAAAGCAGAGTTCCTAGCTGGCCAGGCAAGTGCCTTGTAGTACCAGGCAGGCCAAGCAAACCTGGAGCCATTCTCTGTTGAGCAGCAAATAAAACTAGAAATAAGAAGTAATCAGCAGGATAAGACTGCCCAGAGGATCTCGTTAAGAGTTGTCAGAGAACAGTACATTAAGGACCTCTAGTCCCCCCTGCTGCAGTGTGGGTAGGAGTGCAACTAGGTGATACCACTGTGCAATTAGAAGACACAGATTTTAGATGGAAGAGCAGTACACTGCGATTCATCTCCTGAATCCAACATTTTCCCTCCTCCTGTTGAAGCCTGGAGTGTTGGTGGCTACTGATGCTCTCTTGCAGATACTAGAAATCTATGGTCAGAATATTTGATCCACTTTCCCACCTGGAGGCCATGGTTCTTCATAGGGAGCTGACTGGAATGCTTTAGGACCTGCTATGTTACTACCTCAGGTCACTCGTCAGAAACATTTCCCTTTTTGATTCCACACAAAACACATAAAAAGACAGGACTGCCCTCTGCAGATATGGCAAACAGCAGAGAGTAAATCTAGAGAGAAGTTAGTTCAAAGCTAACGCTAGAGAAACAGTGTGGTTATTCAGGATAACAAAGCACACCAATTTGAAGAGTTCCAAACCTTAATTTTTAAAGATTGTGAGCAACAACCTTGAAGACCTGGGCACTGACTATTCTTTCATGTATTATTCCCATCTGTAAAAGGACCAGAAAGGTATTTTCTCTGCAAGTCCATTTTATCACGTTGTTCCCAGCCTAAGACCCTGGCAAGCATCCAGTGAACTTTGATTTTGCTGAAGGAAAGACAGAGGATGAGAAAGAGAGAAGAGGGAGGGTAGAAGAAAAGAGAAGTCATGTACTCAACAACATAGAATATTAATTTTTTTTAGTATGCCTTTAATCATTAGCCAGGTTAATCCAACTTTACTGGAGTTTCTGGACATGTTGTCAAGTTTCAGCCAATTAAGTATAGGGCTTCGTAAGAAGACATGTTGGCTCTTGCACCAAGTAAAGAAAATGCCATTTTTGTTTGTAAATATTTTTCTTTTTGACTTTTCAACAGGCAGATCTGAAATGCCAGCTGGGAGATGCAGGTTACATAGTGTTTGGAGTGATCCTTTTTGTCTGGGAGCTCTTGCCTACTTCCTTGGTTGTGTATTTCTTCCGTGTTCGAAATCCTACCAAAGATCTAGTGAGTGAAATCTGCTAGTACATTTGTTAATGGGATGTTCTGACAGGTCTGAAGGGCTCAGCATGCAGGGGAGCTGTTGCTTCTTTACATATCATCTTTTTCAACATGTCCTCAGCAGAATAAAACCCAAGTCAATGACCTTGTTATGCTGAATGCTTACAAAAGAAACTCACTGCATTTACCCAGAAGAAAGACAGTGTGTTTCTTGGGCAATTATCTTAAGAATCAGTAACCTTAAATTTAGGGACATGTTCCTTGGGGGTTAAATGTGGCACTGTACTATAGTCAGTGGAACAGGAATCAGTTTGTTCAAACATTATTGTTCATAACATAGAGAGCGGTGAAAGGATGGTGTGCTAACTGTTCCACAGCATATATGAATTAGCTTTAATTCTTCCAGCTTTGTGTCCATTGAATTGTTTCAGTGCCAAAAGCTAATAGCTGTAATAAGCACTACCTGACATTTTTGCTTGCTGAAATAGCAGAGCACAGATTAAAGTGGGAGTTGTGTAAATAATCCTATATATACCTAATACAAGACAGCTAATAGATGGCTAATAGTGGACATGAATCTTTCAATGGTTGTAAGCAGCACTTCCAGGCTAGGATATGCTGGTTGACAGCACATGAGTTTATCAGCCTTGCACGAGGATTACCTGGGTAATCTGTGGGTCAAACCCAACTAAAGCTAATATTCCCCCAGGGAGGATGTAAACAGTAAATGCACAAAAGAACCAATTCATAGAACACGCTTCTAGAGAAGACCATGATTTTTGGTCTCATTCTCACTGCCTTTGAAAATGTGTCTAAGTCAAACTTGGTAAGGAAGTAACAGACACCAGTTATATGAAGTCCTTCTTACAGTTCACCTATGATACCTGACATCACACTAGAAAACCCACCTATGTACATCAAAATGAATGCATTGAAGTTAGATCTCAGCTCTACTCCTGCTTAAGAATTAGCTAGGATAGGTGTAAAGAGGAGAAATGAAATGTTTTTAAACAACAGTCTGGTGATGCTGCTCTTCTTAGAAGTGGCTACAGAAAGATCTCATTTTATTTGAGGTGATTTTAATACAGCTAGACATGCTTTTAAATTCAGGGTGTTAGATTCTCAGAAAATGGAAGTAAGAGCTGTGATCTAACCTCTGCTTTACAAAACTGATCACATAAACACTTGGAGTCTCCCTTGAATGGACAATTCTCTTGCAAGTCAAAATGGACTATGTTAACACACACAACATTATGTTTTTGCATTATGACTTTCAGAAAGCCTCAAATCTCAAACTGAAAGGTAAGAGTTGAGGAGTCATTGGTGTTGTCACTACTTTCATGGGGAGCTTTCTATGGATAGACATTATCTGTCATACTGAATCAGACATGATTTTTTCTACACAAAATATTTATACTAAACACTCACTGTAATAGGAAAACTGGAAACAAGGATGTTAGAAAGGCAACTGTAGCAAGGCAAAACTAAACTTCAGTGCAAACATGCCACAAGAGGGAGACTAAGGGCCACAGTATGTTCCTTAGACTTAAAACAGTTGAGTAGAAAATGATCTACCTGTAGAAAATACCATAAAGCATGAGATTGGAATTAAAACAAACTCTTTAGTTTAAAAAAAAAAATCTTAACTCTCATTCATTAAAAATCCAGAATATACTTCATTTGCTATTAGGAAAAATTCCAGGAAATAGTAACACTTTGGTTTCACATTTCATTCAGGACTTCAGAATGAGAAAGTTTGAGTAGAGGCAGCCTGCATGCAGCACAGTTCAGAGGTAAAGCTCCACGTGGCAGATAACAGTACCTGAAACAAGCAACTGCGTGCTTTGGTGCTGACAGAGAGTAACTGCAGCACTTGGGCCTTTGCTTTGCCATAGCTTCAACAAGCCAAATGTTAGAAATGGGGACAGAAAAGGGTATATTTTTAGTTCATCTTTGCTGAAGTTATTTAACATCTGAAAAGATAATGAGAGGTTAAAGTGCTCTCCTACCTAATGCCAAGGAGATGGTGTCATCCTGCCTTATCCACATGTACTGGGAATCCCATTCCCTACTCATTCAATAAGCATTGAATGCTTATTGAAGCATTTTATACTTATACATATGCATACTTATACATATGCTGAATGAGTCCTTTGACTCATTCAATAAGCATTGAATGAGTCAAAGGAGCTCAGATGGTTCCCAGATATCTCTGAGCATTGTATCCAGATTCAAATGGGTTTTCTGAATCTTGTCTACTCTCCATTTTCAATCCTATGAAAGAAAATGCTCTATATAAATGAAGGTGTTACATGAGGAAAAACTGTTAAGATATGAGATCATCTCTATGCCAGTAGAGAAAAAAAACAAAACAAAAAGATTTGTTGTCTACAGTATATGTAAAATATAGCCTGTTTTGTTTTGGAAGCCAGAATCTAAGTTATGCAGTGACTTCTTTTGGAAGTCAGACACCAAGAAATTTATCTGCTGCAAGTACTAACTCAAGTTTAACCTTCCCTCAGGCCAATGCAGGAATGGTCCCAAGCCATGGCTTCAATCCCAGATCTTATTTCTTTGACAACCCTCGCAGATATGACAGTGATGATGATCTGGCATGGAATATTGCACCCCAAGGTGCACAGGGCAGGTAAGATACAAGAGCTTACTTCCCATAGCAGAAACAGCTGAAGGAAAGGGAAGGTGCACACTGCATAAGAGCAATGAAAATAATTTAGATTCAGTTACTGCCTAAATGATAAATGGTGGAGAGGAAGCTAATGTGGCAGCACTGAATGGTCTCAGAAACTACAAGGACACAAGAATGAAAATGGTTATATCATTTAAGAACTGCCTTTGAAAAAGTCAGGTCAGACCTTTGGATTGCATTTCACCCTCTACTTCTTCCAAGAGTAGAGCAAGATATGTCATTTAATAGTTTAGTGTGTCAGCAAGGCACTCTAAAAAGTAGCTGCTTACCCAGCTTTGAGAAGAGCAGGGTAAAGCTTGAGACCACAGGCAGGCAACTTGCCATGGTGGTAGTGACAAGGCCTGTCCTATAACATGGTTAGACATCCCAGGGCAGCTCACCTGAAGTGAAAGGGATATTTGCTTGCCCATTTGCTCAAAGTAGATGCAATTCTGCTTAACTTTTGAGATCCCACACAATTCAGAACTGCCACGAGAAGCCTTTTTATGTGTGCGTTGGTTTTTCTTCTTCTGTGCAACCATGAGGTTTATAAGGATTAACTCATGCTTCCAGGAAGGTGGAGTTCAGTAAGAATAGCACCTCACTCAGAGAAGGAAAGACAATGCATCATCCTGTCCTGAGAGGAAGTTGCTGTGTGTTACTTATCTTCTATTCTTGAATCTACAACATGCTGGTATTAGATTATTATAAGTTATCTGAAGATAAGATTCACTAACAGCAGCTAACGTACCCAGATCTAGTTCCTTTAGACAGTCACTCTAGACAGTTCCTCTAGTTATAAAGTCACTACTTAGAGTTATCACCCTACTCCTGCATTAGATTTCCATGTAGTAACTCATCCCATTGAAGATGCTGCACTCCAGCCACTACCCAGCCTATAGCTAGAGATGCTCTTCCTTACAAAGGCGAAGGAATGAGCCACATTAGCACAGCTCCCAGTAGAAACTAAACTAACTGATTATGAGAGTACAGGCAGTACACCAGAGATGTTCACCAGATCCATGTCCCTTCTATACAGATGCAGGGAGGTTCAGATCTGTCACTGACAGTCCACTGCTGTCACAGGATAGGCATGGATTAGAAACACCAACTCTCTAGCACTCAGATGTTCAACCACCTCTTGGATCAGCAAAGCAGAGAGGGAAATTCTTTAGTGAACTAAAAGAATCAGGAAACAAGTAATGAGTCATCTCAGTATGAGAACCACAACTGTGCAATTGCATTTTGCCCATGGTAACTAACCAGCTATGTACAGAACCAACCTGCCACTCATTAATTCTGTTTTCCTCTCAAGTTTCTCTACAGATTACTATGACTGGGGCCATCAGAACAACAGCTTCATGGCTTACATAGGATCCCTCCAGCAAGATCCAACACTGGACACAGACAGGCCAAGCCCTATATGACTTCAATCAACTACCCATTTCTAGGACATTCCAATATTAAAATAATTGTTCTGAAAAACAAAGCTTAGCACATTTATTCACCCATTGGTTTTTAGAAGTGTTCCTATGCACAGATAAATGAAGAACTTGTCTTTGCCACAAGCTTTTCATAGTTTAAGTATAAGCTAATGATTTAAATTTTGAAGACTGTTGTAATTATATACGTCACTCCAAAAGCAATGCCTCTTCTTTATTTCCATGGAAACTACTACAGCTGATACAGAACACAACAACACTATTTGATAGAGCAAATTCACAGCTACAAAATACTTTTTCAGCACAGTCACCAACATTAGTTATGCATTTTCACTGCTGATGAACAAGAGCTTGCATGCCACACAAAAATCTGAACAAGCAGAAGTGACCAGCTGTCACCACTGGTATAACACATCACCCACTGCCTCACTGTGCTCACATCCACTGTTCTGCCTCCAGAAATATTCAGCAATCGTCTGTGAATGTTAACGGATGCAATTTTTTTCCACATGGAGGAATTCAGCAACACACCTTTGCTTCATATGCATTTCCAAGTCAAACACCACTTTGTCAGACTATCCCTCTGCTGCCATTCCTCACACAGCAACAAAGTGTGACAGAACGTTGCTGGGAAAGTTCAACCTCTATTGCCATACCACCAACATCCACCTCTGACACCATGGGCCAATATGATAAAAATAGGAGGCATTGCTTTTGGAGCAGCCCTCATACCACCTTGTTTTAAGCCACGGCATTTTTGGCTTTGAACAGAGTTTTCAGAAGGTATAATTTAATCACTTTATGCTCATTTTAAAAGAGCAAGTTCTGTGAAGTAAAATGGCAATTATTTTCTAAGTATCTTTATTTTTACACTGTGTATTAGGTTAGAAATAGATGATTATAATGAGTGTACTGTAAATACATGAAAATGTTACTCAAATGCATGACAGTAAGAATTCTTACATGCACGTAACAGCCTGTAAGGAAAAAATGCCGAGACTATTAAATATTGTCTTTCCAAGTTACTGCTACATTCTTGGAGCACAATCTCCTCTGGATTGTTGCTAATGACACAGCACAGCAAGATGGTTGGAGGCTAACACATCTACTATGCACTAGTTACCATCTCAAAACACACTGCATTCCTTTAAAAATAAGAAAACTATCTTCTGAGCAGCCATAGGGACAGTCTTAAAGCAGAAGAGATGGTCATCTGCTTTGGCTTGAACAGCAGAACAGGCTGAAAACCTGTAAGCTTGAAATAATAAAGTTATATGATAATTCTGTGAATCACTTCTAGATATTTCCTATAGAAGAGTAATTAAGATGGCTAGTCAATGACCAGAGGTATGGATACATCAGGTTCCTTGATTCAGAGGGTGGAATGGACTCCAGACTTCTGCAAGGCAGGTTCTGCCACACCTGCCCCCATGCTTGTGGCTATGGACACCTGAAGTCAAGTCTCAAGTGTGTAACAAAACCACCACCTCTGAAATACTGCTACTGTTAATGAATTAATAATACTAAGTATATTAAGAGACAGCTGTTCTTAAGGGTATTATGCTGTTGCTGCAGAGAGAAAGCAGGCATCTGAGACAAGCTACAAATTGTTTTGGTAGTGGATAGACAGATGCTGCTTCCTGCTGCTGCACCTCTTGCCATTTAGTGTGAGGATGTTCTCTCTTCCTCTGTGAATCAGAAGCACTCCTGGTTATTTAAGATGCATTAAAAACCTGGATTACCCTGTAGGTGGATGTTCTCCCAGGCTGGAATGGAAGCCTCTTGGAGTTCTGCCATGTCTGAACAAAACAACTTAGTGGAAGAAAATCTGCAGGATTTACATTTTCTTCACAGTAGATAAAGCTGCACTGCAAAAAAATTAATTAGCAGAATTCTGCACTTTAAACAAGCTTAATCCTTACACTGCTGTATATGTACATACAGAAAGTAAAATTATAAGTGACTATAGCCACAGTAACAAATTACTCTGGGATACATCAGAGTTATAAGACGGCTTTAGAGGAAAGTAAATTACATCGTTATCATCTGTGTAAGAAGTGCAGGTAAAGTGAGGGTGAAATATACACATCAATAATCAAACATGTATCAAAATATGTTAAATAGGTATATCAAATGAGAAAAGTTGAAGCCCCTTACAGGGAATAATTTCACTAATCTAATCCGAAGAAAAATAATTCTAAATTGTTTTAATAAGCTACGCTGAGAAAGGGACAGAACAGATCAGTGTAAGCTTTTTGCCTCTTCCCCTCACACAATGGGACCTAGCCAGTGGCTATATTTGTACATCTTAATACAGAAGCATTTTAATTATGCCACACAGACTGATGGATGTGCTGGAATATGGAAGTAGCAACTGATACGCAGCAGCATGTCTATGAAAAATCCAAAACTGCCATTTATTTTTGGAACTCTTGCCTGTCATCTTAAGCTTAAATCACAGTGACTGACATCTAAATAATTTAAGCTGCATGATTTCTAAAGCACAGTTGAAACCTACATGAAAATAAACCAACTAAATCCAAGAGGTTATAGCAGAAAATACTTTAATTTGTATCTCATAGATTCAAACGTAGCAAAGATTCAGAAGTGTTCAGATCTCAGTAAGCAGTTCTAACACTGATTTCAATAAATATTACATTTTAATAGGCTAGATAAATGGAGAGATTGTAAAGTGATGAGTTGCTGATTGCTAGTTTATAAACATAAGCATCTAGATTATTTACAACATAATACAGATCATTTCCCAGAAAAGCACAGAGCAAGGTCAGATAAAGACCCAATCATCAAAACAACTCAAAGTGTGGCACAGTGTATTTCATGCATATACAATGACATATAACATATCACCAGCTGAAGTAGGAGAACACATTATTCCAGCTTAAGTCTGTATATTTTACTTTTTAAACTCTGTATTCTCACCCTCTTCCTCTGGCACTTAGGAGCAAGTTTGTTCAGCAACAAACATTTTTGCAATGTTGTTTGCATCAAGTCTTTTAACATTTCACTTAAGTCTTCATGACTTTGTCTTCTTGCTACTTACATGATTACAATCATTTTGTCATTTGTACGGGGAAATGTAACTTTAATCTGAAATGAATGGCAGACAACATTGACAAGCTGATCTCCAATAAGGAGCTAGAATTTAAAATAGTTTACAGCTCATGGACAGTATCTAACCTTTTTTTTTCATATAAAACAGATCTGTAAATTTCTAAAATTTAAGTTCACGTATAAAGAACTTTGTCATCCAACTCACAGAGCAAAACCTCATAGGCAGCATAGTCAAAGACTTGACATCAAATACAGTAAAAAAAGAGACATGACAAGAAAATGGTTTCAACTGCATTAAACCTTCAAATGCAACAGAATATCCCTATACATAGAATTACCCTGTTCAGCTGCACTCATGTTTTCATGACACAAAAGAAAAAAAGACATCTCTATGTCCTTACCCTAAGGACCCCGCCTGGATTGCACCAACAAACAAGCTTAATCCTTAAACTGCTGTAAACATACATACAGACAGTGGAATTAGAAGTGACTATAACCACTCTAACAAATTACTCTGGGATACATCAGAGTTATAAGACAGCTTAAGGAGCAGGTATGCAAGATCAGTACATCTGAATCTCTCACCTGTCCCATAAGGAATTACATAATGCCAGACTATGGTGCTGCTTCGATGTCCACTGATTTTGGCCAGGCACAGGTTTCCAACAAAAATAAGAAGTTGAATCCCTAGAAGGTTGGAAGCAATTCATTTTCCCCAAAAAGCAAAGTAAGGGAAAAAAGAAAGAAACAATTTTGGGGCAACACAAACAACAATTTGTTTTTCCATCAGAAAATCCCGCCTAAAGCTCTTCAGACACTGCAATATATAACAACAGTTTAATCTTAGCTATACAAGATTTTTCACTTGAGTAAGCCTGCAGCTTTCCAGCCCTTGCTGGTCAATCCAAAAGGGGAGGAATTAATGACCAACTGAAAAAAAACAACATACACAATAACCCAGAAGACTTGAATACTCAGCATATAACTTATTTGATCAAACACAGCAGTACACATTTGAGCTGGTCATCTAAATTTTCAAGTTAATGGAGAAAAACTCCTTGGAAAAGGCCAGGTGAGTCCACCTTGATATCACCTGCTCTCCTCCATTAACTAGAAAGTTAACTAGAAAGGGAACCTGTGGTGACTTGCTCAGACAGGTGCCCACAAGAGAGGTTGTTGAGTTAGCATTAGCTTTCTCTAACACACATTAATTTATTTACTGGCTTAAACAGGAAATAAGGACTGGAAAGCAATTGTCAATTTGTGCAACTATCACAATTTTTTTATTATTATTTCACTTAGTTTGATTCAAGAAGGTTTTGTTTCTCAGGAAACAATACTTTTCTAGAAAGGAATGTCAACAGGAGAGTCTCATTTCCAGATGATACAAGTTAGAGTCTAGTCTGGAAACAAAGGACAGAGCATATTCCAGCTTTCAGGAATATTTCCTCTGTAAAGGATTATGTTACAGAAGCCAGTATCACTACATTAAGTTATATCAACAGGTCACTAAATATCCAGTAGGGTGAAAAATATTTAAGAGCACTTTGTTTCAAGAAGATTTGTTTTTGAACAACAGAAGAGATGTATCTACACAATACCAGCATTTCCTACATTCATAACTCCTAACTTCATTCTGTAACAATGGTTTAAAAAAAATTAGTTTTAAATTTAAACCACATTTGGTTGCTAATAGTAGTGCTGTTCCAAATTCTGTTTTGGACAATGATAAATTGCCATTGATATTTGTGGACAACGATACACAAGTAATTTCCTATTTTATGAAACTCACATTATTAACATACCCGTTTTATTATGCTGAATATCCTTTTAAAGAAGGTACAGTTAGGGATTGCATAGATACAATATGCAGTATTAAATGTCAGTGTGATTACGAATTCTAAAAAGCTTTTTCTTAAAGTGACTATAAAAACAAGTTCCTCCTTTTTGATCTTCTAACACCATTAAAAT